CAATTGGCAAGAAAAACTAGGGAAGGAGAAGTCGAAATGGGGCAGAAAATTGTTCTATTAGTGAGCAAAACTGCAAGATTTGGCATATTCTTTCTTTCGAAATCAATAATGCTCACTGTTTAAGCCAGTATTGTTGATTTGATAGTGCAGTCATTGATACTTTGGGGATTTTTATTCAGGTCCCACCGTTCACAACAATCTTGCAAGTTCAAGCCTCGGATGCCGATATTGCCTTAAACAGTCAAATTTATTATTCACTGGTTGGTGTGTCGCTGGAATTTATGGTCGATCCGATTTCTGGGGCTGTCCGTAATTTGCGATATCTGGATCCGGGCACATACGAGTTGTCGTTGCTGGCCGAAGACAGGTCATCAAGGCTGTTTTGGAAAAAAACTCAAGCGGATTATGAAAGCGTTCTGTCCAATTACAATACAGCCAATAAGGCCAAAGCGGTTTGTTTCATTCATTAGGCGACATACTCAAACAACTGCATAAAGTGTTTAATTAAATTTATGAGTTTGCAAATTAAGCGTTTTGTAAATTTTTATGCGTTTTTGCTTGTATGCAAATGCAAAAACGCAAGTTGTGGCGACTCCGGTGTGTGAGTGTGTGTGTGTGTGTGTCTGTCCGGATATTTCAACTCGGCACCCAAGCAAGCTCCGGCGCCAAAATTTTGCCAGTGGCTTCCCCAGCCCAGTGCCACCCGAGGACCGTGGCACCCACCCTCACGCAAGTCTAGGCCCAGCCTACGGAAGGGTGGAAGTTTTGGCGGGAAAACCGCTAACTCAGGAATCAGAAAAGCTAGGAAGCTGAAATTCTGAGGTTGTGTTCCCTGCCCACACAGAACTCAAAGATTTCAAATTCAGCTCTCAGGTGTGCGTGGTTTCCGCATATGGCCCCGTGAGGGTTCCTGGCGCGAATATTGCTAACATGGGAATCAAGAAAGCCGGAAGGATGAGATTTTCAGAAAATGTTCCCAACACATGTAAAACTTGCAACTACCAAAATCAGCCCTCCGGTGCGTTTTGTATTCACGTACGGCCCCGTGAAAATTTCTGACGGGAAAATGGCTAATTTGGGAACCACGAAAGCTGGGAGGCTGAAATTTTCAGAGGATGTTAATAGCGCATGTACAGTTTAAATTTGTTAAAT